TTTTAAACTTGTATTTTAAAGTCAAACACAAACTGTTTTTACAAATAAACACACACAAAAAAGTGCGTTACCTGGAGGTAATCACACTCTTCTACAAAGAAGTGCAGTTTGTCCTCCAGCTGCTCGAGCACCGGCCCCTGCAGGAGAGCTTCTCCCTGACCGAAAGCCTCCAGACGATGAGCCTCCCTGGAACACACAATGACACAAATATAAAACCAGACATAACACAACATGTGGGTTTTAAAAACACAGCTGTGGAAGAGTTAAATACCATGTTGGGTTCAGTCAGAGATTAAACAAAGTTCTAAATAATCAGCAAACACAGAGAGTCTTTTATTCAAACCCAGTTGTGTGTAAAGAGTGCCATCTACTGGAGGAGAGCAGGTATGAAACCTAGTCTGTACAAGGGTCCGCTTGGTTAAAGTCTGGGATCACTGCTTTGATTACACGACCACTAAACTTTCTGAAATGATAATGATGCAGGAGGCGTTTACACGTTACCCGTCGTGGTTGTACTGGTGGATGACGGAGATGGTGCGAGGGTGCAGGTGGATCCTGAGGAAGTCGGACCACACCTTCACGCTGCCCCTCCAGCCTGTAGGCCTTCTGCACTCGAGCCAGCTGGCTGTTCACAGTGTCCACACTCAACGCACCTGCTGGAGGGAGAGAGAGCTTTCAGGGTCAACGTCAAACGTCTGCCGTCGTGCGGAGTTCAGAAGGTTTCCATACCTGAGCAGTGAGGCTGAGAACTGGAGAAAAAATCTGCTTCAGCCAGGATCTCTCCTCTCTGGAGACAAAAAAACAAAAGGTTGTCAGGATCATTTAGGATGTTTCTATCAGGCAGCAATATTATAACTGGACTGTAGAACTTTATGTGTAATAAAGTAAAGGAGCTTTTTCTGGAGCGGTGTGCCGACCAATCAAACCTGAAATAAAAAGTCTGAACCTTTTGAAGTCATATAGCTGCCAACAAGATGGTAACTTTCAGCCCATGTGTTTGCTCCTTCTGCCAGTTTCCTGCCATAAGTTTAATATTCTAGACCACTGATTCCCAACCTATTTTCCTTTGAGCCCCCCCTCCTTGTAATTAATGAACCCCCCCCATAACCACATGAAAATTCCCATCTCATTCCCTGCTCTCTCTCTCCTTTATTTCCAACTCTATCCACTGTCCTATCTCTCCAGAAAAGGCACAAAAGCCCCCCAAAAAAAATCCTTAATATATATTTAAAAAAATGTACATAAACGTCAATAGTGTGAGCTGCTTGTCTGTTATACTTTCACTATAAATACTCACATCTAACCTGTCCAGATCTTCAAGAAATGGGTTCTTAGCAGGAGGACTTTCTTGGTGCATCATGAGGCTTCCGTCCCTGCAGGATCAAACACACACTTTTCATATCACAGGAAACCAGAAGTTATCTGTTACACTTCCATCTCTGAAGTTCTTAACGGTTCTGCACAAACTCTCTCAGAGTGGGTTCATCGTTGTTTTTTTATTTCACTGCACAAAGAATAATGATGTCACAGAAGGTGCCACGCAAACAACGTGTCCAGCGTCACGCTGAGATCTGGATCGTAAAAGAAAACGGTCAAATCTGTCGGGCACTGAAATATGTTGATGTTGTCTTTACCATGTGATGGCAGACGTGTCTTTGCCGGGGTCGTAAAGGCATCCCTCCTGCCGTAGAGTCCGTAGACTTCCTGTCATGGGCACACAAAGAGCAGCTGAGTCAGCATGATGACAACCAAACACCTACAGAGTAATGTGTTGGAGTTCATTCAAGGACTTCAAATGACAAGAATAATTATCTAGTGAACAAAATATGAAACATTTATATCAGAAAGAAGAGGGTCGTGCTTCCTGTTTTACTTGTTTTGACATTTTGTATCCTGTATTGTTGCAGCTTTTTAGACTTTTTGAGTATTTGTTGTCCAGTTTTATGTATTTTAAAGGCTCATCTAAGAACGGGCATTGTACATAAGTTTAGGCTGTGAATGCTTTACGTGTTTGACATCAGTAAATAAATAATGGTGCTGCCTTTGCGAAGAGAATATTTTCAGTTGCAGGTGAAATGACCTTTGAGATCCATGGCAATGAGGCGAGGTGTGTGGGTGACATGTCCGCCTTGAGTCTGTCCCTCACGAAACACCACATCACTCTGGATGTCTCCTGCTGCTGCTTCAGGGTCGTATGATAGAGACGCATCCTGCAGGTCACACAATTACACCATCGTCATTCAGAATATAATAATAATATCTTTATTTATACAGCAGCTTTAAAAACAAATGTTTACAAAGTGCTGTGACCGACAGAAAAGAGATCAACAGAGAGGGCAAAATTATAAAAATGCAAATAACAGGAATGATATGGAGTCAACAGGAATGGAGAGGCAGTTCAGTACAGTGAAGGAAAGATGAGTTTAAAATCAATCAGGAGAGAATAAAACTTAAATTGAGGGAGAGCGGGACGACATCACATCACAGGCTGTAAACACAGAATGAAGATTAAAAAAAGAAAGAAGGGATAAACAGGACAATACATATAAAGGCTGAAACATTTAAAGAAGAGAAAGGTAAAAATGTTAAGAGCAGTAAAAATGAATAAAAGGAAGAGATAGATCTGTGAAGGAGAAATCACATGAAAGCAAGTCTATAAAAGTGAGTTTTAAGAAGTGATTTAAAAGGTAAAACCACCAAAAACATCACTTTACTCTCATCCCTTATAAGAGGACACGAAAGTGAGACAAACATCTATTCAACATTCAAGTGTGAAATCAGAAACAACTTGATAAAGACTATAAAACAAACAAAAACACTCCTCCTTTAAAAGATCACAAACAGTCTGCAGCTTTAGCACAATAACATCTTTAACTAAAGTCAACTTTAAGCAGCAGCTTCTGTGTTTAACTTGATTTATAATCGTAAAATCTGGTATAATGCAGACTCATGTCGCAGCTAGCATCACAGCGACTCCTCAAACTTTGACAACACATGCAGAAAAAAAAGAAAGCTAACGCCAGGTAGCTTAGCTCAGCGTTAGCCGCTAACGGGCTCCTCCTTCACCTGCAGGTTCCACCAGTGAGTCCCGACAAAGTTTGAATAATGTCCCAGCTGGAGAGTGATGACTTCTCTGCACGGGTTACTCATCGCGCCGAAGATCAACAACCGGGAGTGGACGTAGAGATCTCCACTGTGGACATGATGTACACGCTCAAGAAATGACAACAGCAAAGTGCGACGGACCTAACGCGCATCAATGCGCCGTACGTAAACGTCTTCTGTGATTGGTCGAAGGAAAGGTCGAAAGAAATGTGATTGGATGTGCAAATGACGTCAGAGGGAAGACCGGTAGCTTCACGTGCGGTCCTAATGACTAAGTAAAAAAAAAATTAATTAATTATTTAAAGGTTTATTTATTTATTTATTTATTTATTTATTTATTTATTTATTTATTTATTTATTTATTTATTTATTATTTATTTATTATTTATTTATTTATTATTCATTTATTTATTTACAGTCTATGGTTTAAATAGTTATTTTGAAGTCTGTCTGTTCGTTTATCCGTATTTTAATGCACTTATTTTTTATTTTTTATTTTTTATATTCAGGTCTAATTACAGATTTGTAATTACTGTTTAAAGGTTCTTGTTTAAATTGCACATGTATTTTTATTTTTATCCCTGTACAGGTTATGTACATTTCTTGTATAAGTCTATTTTTAATTTCACAGTTTAAGTTTGATTCATCTAGAGGTATTCTTTAAATCTTTTTTTTTGGTTAATATATACGTAAGATGGTTTCTATCCTGATTAGAGCTCTCAAGAACTGCCCTCAATGTTGTGCTTTGCCTCTGGTCACTTCCTGTCAGCACCTGTGTGTCCAATCAGACTCAAAGCTGATCGTTTGCTCTTACTGACATTGTTCCCTTTTTTCTAGATCCTTGCTTGTGTTGTTCTTACTCTCTGATGTACGTCGCTTTGGATAAAAGCAACAATAAGTGAATTGTAGAATTGTAGAAATACTATATTCAATATTTTTTTTTACCTCCAATGATGAAAGAAGAAGTTGTTTATATTTTGACCGTTTCAATGAGAATGGACTCGCTAGTTTTTATCAATGAGTCTTAAACACATGATTCTTTTGTGCAGATTTGTAGAGAATTGCAACTTAAGTTGGTCACTTAAAGTTGCCGTTGGTTGTCAGAAAGTTTTTTTTTTTTTAACATTAATGGTGATGGATGCTGTTTGGAGGGGCCCCTGGTGAATTTTGCTTAGGGCCCCAACAGACTTTAAAATCACCACTGTGGACGACAACCCAATTATTCAGAGATTTGAGTTTAATTTTTTTTTAAATGCTTTAGAGCCAAATCAAAGAAACGAGCAAGAAAGACTAATATGTGGAAAGAATGGAGTCAGGAGTAAAAATAATCATATTTGAGCACGTTATTATAAATGACTTGTGATTTCCTACACAGATGTGAGCAGCTGTTTTTTTATTTGACAATCTTCAGTGACAGAGACGAGTCAGGACTGAGTATCTTTATGAATCCTTCAAACTTTTACAGAGGTGGTTTGGATGCAGAAAGTTTGGATAAACAGTCCAGGCTGTGACTTCAGAGGTTTTACATGTTGCCATTGAACATGTTGACAAAAGGCTGGAACCAGGTGTTCAGCTCCCCCATCTTGTCACCCATGGTGGATTTCAGTTCCTCGGCTGCCATCTGCATCTTTTCCTTCAGGTTCTCCACCTGCGAGCTCAGCAGATCGTTCAGGGTGGTGAACTTAGCCTGGGTGTTGTCACGCACCTGAGCCACATAAGGGTCGAAACGAACCCTCAGGTCCTCCATGTTGTCTGATGTGCGGATCTGAATCTCTTCCAGGTAGTCTGAAACATGTCTGAAGAAGAGGAAAAGAGCTGAGTCAAAAACAAAACTCAAAGAAATTATGGTTGTTGATGTTGACTTAGTTTTTCATCAGGCCCTTGTGGGTGTCATTGCCCAAAGAGACCACACGAGGGTTTCAGCGTTACCTTTGTCAAATACTGATTTGTTTGTTTGTCTCTGATTAATCTCCTTCTGTTGTTTGTTTGTAAATGTATGCATTGTCTGGGTGGACTGTGGAACCAAATTTCCCTCTGGGATAAATCAAGTTGTCAAAGTCTAAGTTGTTACGTTATTTATATAAATGTTATTTCATAGGCCTACTATGTAAATACAAGAGTCTTTGTATCTTATAATGTTAAAACACTAACAAGCTAAAGTCCTAACATAGGACTGTGAAAACATAATCCCATAAAATACACAATCATGTAATGAAACGATGAAACATGAGCTGTCATATCTCTTTACTGATCTCCTCCTCTACATGTGTAAGTCGTGTTTGCTGACATAAATCTCCTCTTGCTTTCTTTTAACCTTCAAATATATCTGTCAGTGTGAACACTTGTTGTGCCCTCTCTCGTCTTGACTGACACCTTCCCTGCAGCAGCGGGTTAGAAGCTTTCAAAATGACTACATAGAAGAAATCAATCTTCTCGCTAATGGTCTCATTTGCTTTTGTAGTGCATAAAGAGACATCAACATTCATTTCAGTCTGTTTTAAAACTAGTTAAAAAACTGCTCACAGGAGCTATAATCATGAAAAAAACAGCAAATCTTAATATTTATAAAAATGGAATCAGAGAATGTTTGGTGTTATTGCTCGACAAATGGCTCAAGCAATTATAATAAATGTTCTTTATTAAGTTAAATTTACCATCATCTTATTATCGCTAAGCCTAATCCTGGAAGAATAATTAAAAAGTTAATTTATCAAAATACAGATTAGTATTTAGTATTCAAGAGGCAGCTGTATAGTTAAAGTGTAGTTGCTGAAAATCTCATCAGAACTTAAATTCAATCAAATTAAACTCATAAAAACAGTCTAAAGTTCTTGTTAGTTTAGATATAAAAGTTATAGAAACCATCAAATCCTCTTACTGGACAGAGTTTCCCATCAGCCTGCTGTGAACGCCGCCTCGCTTCAGCGTGTGTGTGTCTCTCACCTCTTGATCTCCTCGGTGTCCTTGTTGAGGCGTTTCTTCATCTTGCGGGTGTAGGCGTTGACCCTGACCCTGACGTCATCGGCATTTTGCTCCATCATGGTCTGCAGCTCCATGCCGTACTTCTCCATCTGGTCCTGGGCCTCCATCATGTGATCGCGCAGTTTGTTGCCCAGCTTCTGCAGGTCTGTGGCCAGACGCTCCCCGGCCTCCTGTGCGTAGGGGGCCAGCTTGGTCTGCAGGTCGTCTTTGTACATGGAGAGTTCAGACATGCTGTCCTGGATCAGGGTGCTGCCAGGGGGGTTAAAAAAGAGGATTTTAGGGGTGATGTCTGCGTTTCATTTAAAAAGGAGTCAGAGCCAATGAATGATTTTTTGAATGACTAAAGATACAAACTTAATCTTCTTGTAATGTATTTGAAATGATCCTTCACTAAGTTTCAGCAGAGATGCACATGTAGATAGATCTAATATACCAAGTTATAAATGCAAAATCAAAGGATGTTGACTAAAAAAACAGAGTAAGGGTTCAATATTAGATGAGATTAAACCAATTAAAGTTCAAATAATGTGCCAGGAAAGAGACTTTGTTGGTGTTTTAGTGAAGCAATCAGGATCCACAGGGGGTCAAGAGTGACTTCAGAGCAGATAAATGCCTGATTTTGGTTGAAAAAGGAAAATAAAAGCTTATTTTCTTCATTACATTTTTTGATTTATGCTTTGCTTAGTGTCTTTTAAAGTGTTTATCTATCTATTTTCCCCTTCATGTCAGAGAAACTGATGCATGATCAAATTATTTTGATGAAAAAGACTCAAAATCGGCTGAAATTAAACAGAAAAACTCTAATGAACCAGAAAAGAGACTGTGGTGTTTGTAAAGCCATTAGGATTTAAAGTGTGCCAGACTGAGGTCAGAGACTGAGGTAAAAGACTGAGGTCGGAGAATGAGGACACAGACTGAGGTCGGAGAATGAGGACAGAGACTGAGGTTGAAGAATGAGGTTGAAGAATGAGGTTGAAGAATGAGGACACAGACTGAGGTCGGAGAATGAGGACAGAGACTGAGGTCGGAGAATGAGGTCAGAGACTGAGGTCGGAGAATGAGGACAGAGACTGAGGTTGGAGAATGAGGTTGAAGAATGAGGACACAGACTGAGGTCGGAGAATGAGGACAGAGACTGAGGTTGAAGAATGAGGTTGAAGAATGAGGTTGAAGAATGAGGACACAGACTGAGGTCGGAGAATGAGGACAGAGACTGAGGTCGGAGAATGAGGTCAGAGACTGAGGTTGAAGAATGAGGTCGGAGAATGAGGACAGAGACTGAGGTTGAAGAATGAGGTTGAAGAATGAGGTTGAAGAATGAGGACACAGACTGAGGTCGGAGAATGAGGACAGAGACTGAGGTCAGACAATGAGGTCAGAGACTGAGGTTGAAGAATGAGGTAAGAGACTGAGGTCAGACAATGAGGTCAGAGACTGAGGTCGGAGAATGAGGTCAGAGACTGAGGTTGAAGAATGAGGTCAGAGACTGAGGTTGAAGAATGAGGTAAGAGACTGAGGTCAGAGATTGAGGTCAGAGAATGAGGTCAGAGACTGAGGTCGGAGAATGAGGTCGGAGAATGAGGTCAGAGAATGCGTTTGGAGAATGAGGTCAGAGACTGAGGTCAGAGACTGAGGTCAGAGAATGAGGTCAGAGACTGAGGTCAGAGCAGTATAATTCTTTACTTGGTATGAAAAAGCTTGTCTTTCTTTTCAAAATGTGAAAACAGTCCTCTGCTCTATCCTCTTGTCCTATTATATTTGATTGACTCAAGACCTAAAAGTCCTGTGAGTCCTGCAGGCCTCAGCAGTCTCTGTGTGCATGTCTCACCTCTCTGACACATGCTGATGAACCTCCTCACACTGACTCAGCTCACGGCAGAGTGTTTGTGTAAGTGGGCAGAAGTCTAACAGCAACGTGTTGATGCTTTTTTAAACTCTGTCAAACATACTTGAAGCAGTGTGACAAGAGCACAAAGACCGAGACAAAAACGAGCTTGTCCCACTTACTCTTTTGTTTAAGAGGAAGAGTTTATTGATCAGAGGTAAACTAAAACATCTCACTCTGTTGCCAGTTTAGGTGCATTTACCCGGAAATAGCGCCCTCATAATAATACAGTCTGCAGAAACTGAAGATTATAACCTTGACTAAGTTAGGATTTACTGCAGAGCTGTGATTGGTGTGCAGGATGCAACTCAGACGTAATACAGTGGTGCAGAAAAGAAACAAATTGGTGCAAAATAATTCTCCAGAATGCCAGAAATGAAGAGTTTGACAGTCGAGATTTCTGTCAGATT